TACAGACAGAAAGGATTTTGCTTGCGATCAGAGCAATCAGGAGAACAACTTATGATGGCAGATACTAATTTCAGAGGGTTGCTGTTGCCAGTTGCTCTTTTTGGCTATGTGACTTAAAGCCAACCCAACCCCAGCAGAACAGAGGTAGCAGCTTTCACAGGTCCTGAGTTGACGCTGTGTGTTCTCCACAGTATTTTTCCAGCTCTCTTTGGCTGGATTTCAAATGAGAATAAATTATATGTAAATATTATTTCCTTTATTTAAACTCATGTATTAAAGACTAGAACTGTATTTCAATGAAAGCTGAGCTAACACTATATGACTCCAAAAACTAAGTATATATTAATCCAAATATAAAACCATGTAAAACCGAGTGCCCCATTTATACTAGCAGAAACTACTGTAAGAAGTGGGTCACTGAATTTCATATCTTCCTAGTCAAAACCTAAGTTTTTAGAAAACTTTGTTACAAGTCTTTTCACAATCCAAACCAAAAAGAAAGGAAAAAAGAAGTAAAAGGAAAAAAGGAAAAAAAAAAGAAAAAAATAAGAAAGAAGAAAAAAGGAATCAAATCAAGACTGCATTGGAAACAAAAGGATAAATACTGTAGTTCCATAATACAAAAATAGTAACTTCAAGAAGAAGAAATCATTGTCATTAAAATTTAAAAAGGAGCTTGGCAGTATGACTTAATTACTAATAGATGCAAACCTACATGTTTAACTGACAGGTAAAGGACATTTTACTCCAGCAAAACCATTCTTTATGTGCAATTAGTTACTAATTTGATGATAAGAGAAGTAAAATTAATCTTTCTTTCTTTGATCACATCAAAGGAGCCAACAGTCTGAAGTCCATAATACTTTCTTCTGACATTTTTATGTAGGAGAGCTGGAAGCTTACATTTTTATATTTATCTATTACACTCATCAGTGCTGAGGTTTTTATAGTCTTAACAGGGCACATGTTCTTGCCCGAGTTCTCTCTAAAGCTTTAACTTTTTTTTTCTTCCTTCTCTGGAGTTTAAAGCAAGATATTACCAGTTTCCATGAAAAACATGAAATTTGTTTTACAGATCTGCAATTTAGTCCACCAAATTTGGCTTCAGATTTCTGCACAGAACCACTGGCAATTTCTTTCCATGTGATTCACACGAGAGACGGCAAAAATAATAACAGCAAGGTTCATAAAATGTTGAGGCTTTACAGTGTTCACACACTTAGGAGCAACACAAATACTTGACTATGTTACATTTATTTGGAGGACATAAAAGTTTCTAAATCATCCAATGTGTATTTAATTTCTATACAGAACTCTTATTGGCCTGTGACTGTACAGACCTCATAGATTTTCACCTTTCTAGCAGCACCATGAATGCATGCTCAAGGTGAAAACAATAAAACACTAAAATTTAATATTAGGCAAAACAGCACTGTCATATGTTCTGTTATGTGTAGCTGGTGTCCTGGGTGCACAAAATTGAGGGGTAAACAAAATTTCTGATTTCTCTGCTGAAAATTATTATTGTATGAAAGGAGTGACTGGGAAACTCAAGCCAATGCAAACTCTTCCTTAAACACTGAAGAGGAGATGGATGCTTCATAAACCTTTATGTCCTATGGACAGGCTGTGCAGAGCCTACCCCAAATTAACTATTTCTGAAAGAGCCCTATAACCTCACAATTAATGTGATGAGAGAGTCGGCCAACTCCTGATCAACTCCTAACATTAGGAAGTATGTAAGAGGAAGTAGCCAACTTTTTGAATAATTTCTAAGCAAACATTTTTCTTAAATGCTTTCCTTATTAAACCTAATCACAGCTTTCAGTTAAGATTTTTAGTTTTATAGCCTCAAAATTATTTACAAAACTTAACAGTTTAAAGAAAATAAAACCTCTCAATGAGGTGCTGTAAGAAAGGTTAAGAATAAGGATTTATAATCTCCATAAGCAACCTAAACCTTAAGGTCAGGCTGACCCATCCATGTGAATCAGTGGTAGAGCAAGTTAATACAGATGTCAGAAAGGATGTTTATAGAAAAGTACTCCCTTTTTTCTGTCTTCTGTCTCCTCTCATCATCTTACGGTATAAGACACAAAATGTGAGACTTTAAAATTACTCCTGGTAATAGCTCATTGTCTCTAAGGCAAATATTACCTGCTTGAATGTAACTGAATATATGTCGTGCTAGATCAGCAGAACTCCTTATACTAAAAACTCCCCAAAAACCAAGAACCCAAATAAAAGAAACCCAACAAAAAAATCACCACCCTAACCAAACAACCAATAACCAAAACCAACCCAGATTTAATAGCATTTTTAGTTCTTTTATGTTCCTGTTTGCTGGCAAAAGGGGTGAGGTATTCTTCTATAAAAGACCTACATTAATTACATTGCATAACAAAATGTACCATACTACATCATGATGTATTTCCCTCTTATTTACCTCACAAGCTGTTGAAAGTAAACATTGGTGGGATTTTTTCCTGATTTTGGCACTTCAATATTTTTAAAAAAGAGGTTCTGAAAAATGACAGATTCATAAATCAGAATACTTCTGAAATTCAGTCTAATTATTTTTGTCTACTATTTATTCACTACTTTTACTTATTACATAACACGACATTTTAATAAATATAAATTAATAAATATTAATTTTAAAGGTCTTCTTACAGTTTTCTCCACACCAGCAGTTTCTTCTCTGGTTATACCTTAATTCTGGCCACCAAGAAGGACATTTTATAGCTAAGGATATATCTCTCTACTCCAGGACTGATACGAATCAGCTGCAACACAGTCAGTATTGGCACTACTATACTTACAAGCATACTACTTCTTTAAAGGTAGTTATATGAAGTCGATATGGGCAAGTTCAAGAACTCCTGATGTCGTCAGCCATTTTCTTACATATCTGCTACCTCACCAGAAACTCAAGAGCCCCAGGATACAAGGCTGACAAGTACACACACAAATTTTCAGGGAGACTACCTGAAGTGGAACTAAAGAGTCTGCAGCCCAAATTCCAAGGACGAATGAGGTACCATCTGTCAGACACATTTCTGAAAGGGCAGAGAATGTCCACCTTCATCCAATACTGAATCGCCTCCACATTTTCCATTAAAAAAGCATTAATATTAGTCCTTTCCCTTACAAAGTAATCAACTAAAATGCATGCTTTGAATGTTCAATTTCTCAAGATCTCTAATTCAGGTATAAAAGCACCATTAAAAGTATGATATTTAGGAATACTTTCCTGTTGGCATGTTTAACAGTATTGATGGTACCTAGCTAGGAAACCTGCAGAAACACCAAGGGCTATCAAAGATGAAGTGCCCATTCTAGCATAGTTTCTAATGAAATACATCGATGCCATAAGCTACTGACTCCATTTCTTCCCACAACATACCTAAAAGCTTATTAGTAAACTGTTCTGTGGTTTTTTACAAACTTCCTCTTATATTGTTTTGCAATCCAAACGTGTGCACTAACAATAACACAATCCTTGTTTAAATGCCCTATAAAGTTTACCAAAGTATTATATGGACTGAGTTCATAACAAAATATTTCAAAATACCGCCCAGAAAATAGAAATCTCTGATATTTCTACATTCAGGAATTATTTTTGGAGAACTGCATAGGACTGCTTATCATTTTCTACTTAAATTTATCTGTAAACCCTATAACCATAAACAGTGCTTTACAGAGCCTATAAAAGCTTGTCTTGACTAAACAAAAAGGCACTTTTTGTTTTCCTAGCAATGCATCAACTAGCATGTTGTAACTAATACATTCTACAGCCCCATCATCACCCCAAACATTGTGCTCATACAACATTCTCCTGAACTACCTGAATTTATGTTACTCTTCTGCTTGACCAGACCTCACTGGAGAACAACTTTTCAGACACACACACACAGTGAAAGACAAAAATACTGTAGTATTTCGTGAAATAATTAGTATCTGCAAAAATGATAGTGTATTTTATCCAGGAGAAGTGAGTGGCTGATCCAAGCAGAGAAGACAGCAGAAAAGATAACACAATGTTGAAAGTAGCAAGTCACAGAAGTGGTATTTCACAAAGAAGTGACAGAAGACGGAGAGGTAGCATAAAAGAAAACAGCAATAGAAAAGTGATGAGGCAGAGCTACCCAAGTATCAGGATTACAAGGACAAGACATTTGAAGACAAAACGCTGGGGGAGAAAGTGAGAGAGAAAGTGCTACAGAGACTGTGTCGTTAAAGGGCAAAATACCAAAGATGTATGTTTTTATCAGCACTATTTAAAAAACAGTGATTATGCATAGAGACAGGGTGAGGAAGCTAGGGAGCTGAAGTCAAGAGAGGTAAAGATTAGAAATGAAGCTGAAAAATGAGGCAGTTCAATTGGAACTAAGTCTGCTAGACATATTCAGTCTTTATTTCAATTTATTGATTTAAAGTTCATGTCATAAAAAGCAGGCAGATAATTTGATATTATTTCAGCTTTTGAATTGTTTTCAATTAATCTGTTGTCTTGAAGTCCATTTTTTAGCTTGCATATGAAAAAAAATAATTTTCTAGTCCGAATGTTTACAGATGAGAAAGAAATACATGTGCTATAGCTGGAGTGCAAAAGGAAAACATCAAAAAGTCTTTACTATGTAAAATGTTTCTTGTATGATAAGTGATATATTCAAACAAGCATCTTTGAACTTTTCCCCTCGCACAATACCTCATGCTTAGGGAAATCTCTCCAGAACTGACAGCAAAATATTACTCTCTTCTTGAGCATGATTTGACATCAGTACACTCTTACATTAACCAATGTGATTGCATTAAATTCTTGTACTCACTGCTCAACCCTGTCAGCTTACTGCTTCTGCCTATAAAACAGATACATTTCTATGGTCTGTGTGCCATCTACCATACTAAGGTGTTCAAATAACAGGAACAAATTAAACTTCAGAAACATGGGAAATCAAGTTATATACGCAAAATACGGAAATGTAACACATTCTTACCTATGCAGCTGTAAATACTCTCTGGGCCTGTTTAAAAGGTGAAGGAATCTGTCAACAATCTTGTTTTTCCCAACACCCTGCAGTAAATAAATAAAATATTAACACATAATACAGATGTACACATTTGAGAGTTATAAACAAAGAAAAGATAACTTTCCAAAATTGCTAAAATACTCCTCATATTCCTTTATAGGCAAATACAACTTCAATCCACATCAAAGAATTCTGAACACAATTTGATTTTATATATATATATAAAATTTA